GGGCTGGATCTGCCCTTATTTCCATAAGTAATTTTCCTGGTGGTTGTAGGCATTGCTGCATCTGGTCAGTGTTTATCACACTGCCTACAGTCCTTCTGTCTGCAGGGCAGTGCTCTGCTGTTAGTGGGTTTCGTGCACAGTATGCAGAGATCAGCACAGGTCAAGGTGATAAATTTAAGTCCCCCTTAGGCAAATTTTAAGCCCTGATCTGGGTCTTTGGAAAAGAATCTGTTTCACATTGCATTCCTTCTATCCCCAAACCTTAAAACTTTAAATCTCACTGGAATTGCTTTCATAACAAGGCTTTTCCAAGCAATGTGTTCTTCCTGTTCAGCAATGCTTTTTAGCTTATTTTTTAACTTGCTGAAAACATTTTGAACTGAAAATATAAGTGGTTTGTGTCACTTTTTTATTTTCAGACGTTTTTTCCCCTTTTGTAGCTTCTGTAAAACTCTATTTAACACCAGGTTTTACCCCACCCAGCCAGACAGCACTAGGTAATTGGTTTTGCTTTTATTTAAAATCAATTGCACTGTTCCAGTAAAGCAGCAGTGTTTAGCCACTGGTGATAAGTAGGCTGAATCAGTTCCTGAAAAATGTCCTATTTTAGAGTGCTTTCTGATGGATGTGGCACTTCAGAAAAAGGAAAGCCTGGTGCCTTGTGCTTGCACTGCTTCGCTTGCAAGGACGTTGGTGTGCTTGCCATGCGGAGCGAGCTGAGCCTGGGGGGAGCTGAGCATGTCTGATCTATTCCTGGGGAACGAGCTGCTCTCATGCACAGAAGTGCCCCTCGTCAGATGACATATGTCGTATGATTCATTGTTTGAATTTTTTCTCAGGTTCAGGGTTGGCACCGGAAAGCCACCTCCTGTGGGTTCCTGCTCGTCCCAGTCTTGGAAGGCCCGTTTGCTTTGCCCAGTTACCTGTACGGAGACCCACTTCGGGCTCAGCTCTTCATCCCCCTCAACGTGAGCTGCCTGCTGAAGGAGGGCAGTGAGCATCTGTTTGATGGTAAGAAAGGGTCCTTGTTTTACCCCAGGCAGGTCACTGCTGGCACGTGGCTGACACAAAGGACCTCATTTACCGTCCAGGCATTAGGTGGCTGAGGGACTTGTTTTTGCAGTTCAGCAGCCCCCTGGGGAAGGTGGTGCTGGAGGAGGCTGTGCTGGCAGCATAGTCAGCATGAACAGGGTGAGGTGGGCAGCAAGAAACACCAACAAACAGGAAGGGTGGTCTCCCCAGTGATCTTTAACATTTCACACCCTTACAGAGCCCATGACAAGTGGCTGTTCCTTTGACAGACTCTGAGTCTGTTTTGCTGGTAGACCCACAGCTGCTCTGCGTTTGTATCCTGTGTTTGTTTATTCTCCCCCTCAGTGAGATTAGGCTTTCACCACTGCCATCCTTTTTTTGTTGTTGCCATGGTTACATTCATGGTTAGAGTGTTTGCACATGAGATTAAGCTCTAGAAACTGCAATCTCCTTTTCTGCAGTGTGACCTCGCCCTTCCCACTGACAGTGTTGTGGTAAGTCTCAGGTGGAAACTCAAAGATCAGAGAACTCTGTCCCATGCAGAGAGGCAAAATTGCATCATGAGAAGGGACAATTAGCAACAGGCTCTGTTTTAAAATAGTAAATATGATATTTTCATTAATCCTTGATCCAGTGTCCAGGTGTAAATGTAAAACAAATGTGACAAATCCATATGCTGCGAGGTCACCACGGCCCCACTGACTGAACTATTTTCATAGCACTCTGATACACAGCAGCCCACTCTCCTTCCTTGTCCTCTCCCACACACACCTTTATGTTCCTCTCCTTCATCTCAAGAGACACAAAATATGAATTCAGGGATGTGTATAAGACACATCTCTAATAAGATGGCATTCAAGGGACAGCTGACAGAAAAAAATTGAGACTAAAAGAAATGGCTAAGGAGGAAAAAAGTGCACAGAGGTCCTCTGAGGAAAACTGAAGTCTTGAAAAGGAAGGAAATAAAGTAGCTTTACTAGATAATTGTTACATTTTGTGTGTTTCAGGCTTCGAACCCGAGACGTACTGGGACCGAATGCACCTGCTCCAGGAGGCAATAGCACACAGGTATGGACAGAGTGGGCTGAGCAGAGGGTTTGTGTCTCCCTGGATAATGTGGAATAAAGATCTGTGCCAGACAGTCACTCCTGGGTCCCGTGGGTTCTGTGCTCTCTGCCTCTCTGAAGTCTGCTCACAGACTGTTAGACTAAAATACAGTTCCCATGCCTGGAGCTGGTTCTGGGGGTGCAAGGGGCAGGTTTCAGCCTGTCACTCCTTAGGAAAACTCCTCCTAGGGAGGGCATTGCCTTTGGAAAGTGCCCTGTTATTCTAAGTTAGAAGCAGATAGATTGTAAATAGATTCTTCCTGAGAAGGGACAGTTATTTCCTCCATGTGGATTTAACACAGTCTTGAACTGGATGCCAACCAGTGCTTGACAATAGGCAGGAGCCTGGGATGGAGCTGTACATAGGAGGTTGGGCCGAGTTTAAGAAGGAGTTGTTGGAAACTCCTTTGTGGAGTTGAACTTCCAGTTTGTTTCATGGTGTTGCTGCCAAGGTGTTTTTTGTGACAGAGAAACTGCCTTCTTTAATGGACTTTAGCTTGGAAACCAGCTTTCATTAGTTTAGAAAGCAGCAGAGGAACAAGTATCCTACAAACAGCAGAGAACTGTCAGGTGAGCTGCTTGAATTCTGCGTGGGAGAATGCCCAGCATGAAAAAAAAATGATATTGCAGCTGGAAACATACCCAGGGAATGTCTGTCTTCTCTCCTTCTTCCCTCCCTCATATGCAGCTGCCCTGTTTTGTCAGAGGCTGCTCAGAGCTGCTGCTGCTCCTGTGTCCTGCACAGGCTGGGACAGGTCACAGGCTTTCACACTGTGCCTGGCAGGGCCAGAGAATACTTGGAGAAGCTCAGCTCTCTTCATCCCTTTTCCTCTTGCCTTCAGGCCATAAGAAGAGGGAGCTTTTGTCATAGTGGAAGGATTTTCCCTAGTGCCCCTGCCCTGGACTGAGGAATCCTACCTGGAGTGGCTCTTTTTATCTTTGTTGTTTTTTTTTTTTCCTTAATTCCTGTGGTCTCTCTTTCTTCAGATTTGGATTTGTGCAAGATAAATACTCAGCCTCTGCATTCAACTTCCCAGCAGAGAACAAGCCCCAGTATATCCATGTCACAGGTGAGAGATAATTGGGAGGCACTGGAGTGAGGAGGAGGTTTTTACAAACAAAAGAACCATTTTACCTGCAGTTTGTGTTTTGTGTCAGTGATGTTGGTCCTGTTTTGTCCCAAGCCAGATGACATGTAGGTGTGTCAGCCAAAACAAACCAGAAAACTGGAGGGGCAGTGGGAAAAGCACAAAGTGTTGCTGCTAGTCAGTGGTGCTGGTTTGAAATCTTGCTTTATGGTGTCTCTAAAACTTTTCTTTCTAGGAGATGGAGAAATTAAAAAAAAATAAGGCAGAGCTTATTCCAAGGTCAGTGTAAATAAATGTGTACCCAGAGGTTAGAAGGAGGAAAAGGTCTTGGGACAAGTCAGTGCTCTGTTCTTGTGCTTAAGGTCAGTTGTAGATGCATCTCTACCCATAGACACTGTGAGGGAGACAGATAAAACATTTAGGATCCACCTGCTTTCATTATTACTCTTCACAAATGTTGGTGGTCTGTCAGCACTTCTAACCAAGCTCCATGCATGGCAGATTGCAGTAGGATGGATCTACAGTGTTCCCAGCGGTTGCTGAGACATGAAAGCAATGACAGGAAGAGAGCTTTTGGAAAATTGCAGAAGAGAATGGCAACTGATGGGAAGTTAGAAAGATGGATCAGAGCCTACAGCTTTGCTTCCTTCCCTGCCTGCAGGGGAAAGGCAGACTGAGAGTGCTCTCTCCCAGTGTTGTAACACGCAGGAAGAAGCAGCGAAGGAGGAAAAATTGTATCCCATTTTCTCTTGCTGAAAGGCAATCAAATGACACTCAGGCCAGTTTCCTTTTCAGAATTTAATGAGCCAGCCCCCAGTTGCAGGGACTTGACTCTGCCTCAGACTGAAGCCCTCCTGTCTCCTCCAGGGACGGTGTTTCTGCAGCTGCCGTATTCCAAGCGGAAGTTCTCCTGTGGGCAGCAGCGGCGCCGGCGCAACTCCACCAGCTCCACCAACCAGAACATGTTCTGTGAGGAGCGGATCGGCTACAACTGGGCCTACAACACCATGCTCACCAAAACCTGGCGCTCCAGCGCCACCGGGGACGACAAGTTCGCCGACCGGCTGCTGAAGGACTTCACTGACTTCTGCTGGAACAAGGACAGCCGGCTGGTTCTCTTCTGGACTGACTGTCTGGACAAGATGCACGCCAGTGCTCCGTGAGATAGGGCTGCATTGGGTCTCTTAGGGAGACAGCTAAAGCTTTACCTTGTGGCAAGGATGTAGAAGTGAAGGATGAGTGAAAAGAGCCTCTCTGTTGGATTCATCTTGAGGCTCCAAGAGGACCTGAACAATATTGCTGTTGATATTCAACAGAATTTGATTAAGTGCTTGGAAAAAAAAGAATCTGAGCTCTTAGCTTGCCAATATCTATCCCCTGACTTCAGCTTGGTTTTAAGTAGCTGCAGTCCTTGATTGCCAAAACTTCAGTTAGAGCAGAGGTAAAGGAGGGAGAGAGTGCAAATGGTTTTCAAGGGCAGTTGGATTCAGCACAGTGTGGTGGTAGAGGCTTCCTGTCTGTGGAAATGATGGGTGCCCTTGGCATCTGCTGTGCCTGGCAGCAGCCTGCCCCTGCCTCTCCTGAGGTGTACCTGATTGTGTGAATATGTAAGATAAATGTGAGAGATGCTTGTTACATTTCATACATGTAAATAAGTAAAAATGCAGAAAAGCAAGTGCCCTGATGTTTTGTTGTAACTCCACAGACAGCAGTACAGAAAGAGTGAAAGAGAACAATTGCCAAGAGGAAGTACTGCTTCCTGTGCCCAGCTCCAAGTTCAGTGCTGAGTCTTTGTCTTTTAAGCATCCAGGACTTTGTCTCCAGCTCTGGATCTAGAACAGTGTCACACAGCAGGAGCAAGAAGCCAGTTACTGTCCTGCAAGGCCAGCACCAAAGCCTAAGGAGAAATCAAGGGCCACTGAACACAAAATACTGCTGAGAATAATGAGCAGATTTTTAGAATGTGTCTGCACGCAGCAAAAAGAAGGTGCCTGTGCTCAAGTATGTAGCCTTTGTCTTTGCACAGAAAGCTCCCACGTGGCCCAGGGCCTCTGCACGAGCTGCTTATTTAAGTGCAGATTTAGGGTGGGTTCACAACCCAGCCGTGCTGAGCGTGGGGGCTGCTGGCTCCTGCTGCGAGATGGTTCCTTTTGTTACCTGTCCTCGAGAAACTGGAGTCAGGGGAGGGTTGACACCTTCACAATGGTGTTCAGACCTGATTAAAGGAAAATAACCGCAGCTGCTTCAGTTTCTATCCCCCAGACGGCGCCTGGATGACTCATCTGTTTTGAGACGGCACCCACCCACAAAAGGTGGGTTTGAGCCTCGTGCCTCTTCATTCAGTTCCTAAATGTGTCAACATCATCAGTGCGTGTCTGAGCCCCATTAACGACTTAAAAATTGCTCTCTACTATGAAAGCAGCTTGCTGCCGTGTACTCTCCCCCACCGCACAATGAGCGGCGCCGTGCACGCGGTGGGTGCTCGGTCTGAGGGCTCCCGGGGCGGGGTCGGGGTGTGGGGCAGCCCTGGAGCCCCGCCTGGGCGGGGAACGAGCGGCGGCTCCTCACCTGATCCCGGAGGACGAGGGTGAGGGCCAGGACCGGCACCGGGCTGCAGCGCGTCCCTGCTCCTCCACCTCGCAGGTATTTAACAGCTTTTCCCGTTCTTGTCCGGCGGGGCTGGAGTTGGCCCAAGGATGGGGTGTCCCCAAGGGTACCGCGCCGGCCCCCTTTTCCCAGGAAAAAGGGTAAAAACCAGCCCCGACGATTGCTTACACTTTGCAGGAACTGCGACTGCCCCGGCCTGAGAAAGCGCCGTTTTGGAGAAAAACTAATTAGTTTCACCTGAATTTCACCGAACTACTCTGTTCGAGTAGTTTTAACCTCTAAGCTGTGGATGTAAAGCTTAGAGTCAGTCTCCGAGTTTCGGGGCAACTTTAATGTGTCTTTCTGAGCTCAGTTTTTTCAACTGCAAACTTGGTGTGGCTTTAGTTTTTTCAGGGCTGCTTTAGGCCTAGTTTTATTTAAAACATTTTAAGGTCCTCGGGCTGCTTTTAATAGCACAGCGAATTTCTTTCCTTTAAAAAAAAAAAAGACATACCATAGAAGCTAAAAATAGGAGATAATAGTTTTTATCTAACCACAACTTTGTGCATTTCATGGAAAAAGCTTCCAACAGGACATGAGGATGGAGCAGTTCATGGCCATGTTAAACAGGAATAAAAACAAGGATCCCCCACCCTCCAAGCTGCTGGATCTAGCAGGAGAGCTTTGCCGGGACCTCCAGAGCTCGCCCCCTAGTCTGGAGAAGCTGGTTGGGGCCATGATGGGATGCAAGCACAAGATGTATTTTCTCACTAACATCCACATTGTCCGGGCTTGCGTGTTCGTTCACATCCGTAATGGGCAGCATGACGCAGCCTGCAGCCTCCTGGAGGTAGGGATGTGTTCTTTGGTTCTTCATGGAGACAAAAAGCAGTATTGGAAAAACAGTAGTTAGAGCTGTTAGTGCAGAGGGACCCAAACTGCAGCACGTGGAGTGTTTCCAGCTGGCAGAAGGCAGTGGAAGGTGATATGTGTGCATTGGTTGACCTGAAACCCAGGATAAAGCCTTTGCTACAGGCAGTATTCATCAGCCAAGGGGAAGAAGGTAATTAGGTGATTATGGGGTTGGCTGTAGCAGGATTTTTGTTCTTTAATGTGGTGGTTCTTGGAGTTTTTCACAATCTTAGGACTCAGGACATAAATGTCTTGGGAAGCCCAAGATTAGAGTGCTTGTCAGGGTGGGAATGTATGAGGAAGGCTGGATGGTGCCACTCACGGTGAGGGATTTTGGCCTCTTGATCTGGTCATCTAGCCCTTTTCACCAGGGGAAAGGAAGGAATTAAGCAGGCAACTCCCTGTGTACATTAGAGAAGGTACAGGAGCCATATGCTCAGGTAATGTACCAGCTTTGTCAAACCAGTTGGAATCTGAGTAAATTTCTGTTGTTGCAGGTTTTCTCTTTTATAGGAAGTCTGACTGACTCTCGGGAAAGGTTTGTTTATACACTGTTTTGTTTTAGCACTGCAAGGCGGAAGAGAAGGAAGAACTGGTGCAACTTTGGCACGAGGTTCACTATCGGAGGGATATGGAGAGACACCACAGGGATTTTCTGACACCACTGCAGAAATTCCGTTGCAGGAAGAGGTACTGACTGCATCGTGGGGGGACCAACACTTTTTTCTCTGCTGTGGTTAGCAGAGGTAGGGGCTACAGATGCAAAGACTGGTGTTGCATGTCAAGATACTGCTTCTTGGAGCTGTTTTTTCTCTTGGTGTTTTGATCACTTGTGGCAATGTGGGAAAATTCCCATGAATGTCAATGATTCTCTTTGGGGTCTTTTTTAATCCTGTTTTCTCCTGTGTACAGGAATCCTCCACCTATTTCCCTTTGTCCTGAAGGTTTGAAGACAAGAAACCATCCAGAAGAAGTACGCCAGCACCTGTACAGGTTTGCTGCAGAGGTGACAGCAAACCCAGACAAGGAACAGAGGGTAGGGATATGTTACTTACAGTCAAGTCTCTTTGTCACAGAAAGCAGGACTCTGTCATCAGAAATCTGGAACTGGTGTTTTCAGAAGCCTCACTGGGGCTGGGAGTTCTTGTATTTGATCTTTCCCTAAAAGTTTCTTTAAAAAAATCATCAGGTTCATGCTAAGTAATTTCTCTTGCTGTGGACAGCAAGTTGAGGGCAACAAATTCCTCTCTGGGTTTTTAACAGTTCTAATTTTGTGGTGATTGAGCACAGGCAGTGAAACAGCCGTCACTCAGAAGAGCTCTATTACGGTGACAAATAGTTCTGTCTGACTGGACTGAGTTACAGCCTGTGGAAAATTGCACTTTGTTCACCAGAACGTGTTTTGTGCTGACTTATCACATCAGATTCACAGCATTTGAAAACACAACAGGCTGTGTTGATGTGTGCGTGGATCTACCTTCTTTGGACAGGGACAGATTTGTAATGGAAGTGATGTGTGAATTAATTCAGTAATCCTGGTTGATCACTGCCTTGGAAGGTGAGAGCTTCAGACTTTGGAGGCTGCCTCTGTGAAGGTGTTCTTCTGGGGGGTGAATGTGCTCTGGTGAGGGCACTATTTGGTGAGCAATATAATAGAGTGTGTGGTTTCCTTTAGCAAACAAATTGTCTGGGGGTGCAGGGTGGAATGTGTGTTTTCTGTCAGATCTGAGGACAGAGGTCAACAACTCTGAGTTGGGGTCCTCAATCGGATCCACAGAGACTTCTTGGAGATGTAGTGAGTAAACGTCTCTGGGTTTGAAAGCTCTTACTGGGCTGCTTTTGGAACTGAAGGGAAAAGCCTGATTATGTGGATGTGGTTTATTCTTTTCCCCTTAATTTCTCCCTACACCTGGGTTTGCAGGAGGAATTGGCTCGGGCCATGAACCTGCAGCCAGCTCAGGTCTATAACTGGTTTGCGAATTATCGGCGACGTCGAAAATCCTGCGTCCTTCCTATGGAACAGCACAACTCCTGTCCTGGGAGGGCTTGGCCTTCCCACGCAAAGGAGGAGCAGACTGCAGGTTTGTGTCTTCCTAATGGGCTTAGGATGTGGTCCAGAAAGCTGAAAATCAATTTGAAATTCCCTCAGGAAGGGAAGAAATTGCTTCTTGAGAACAGCATCTATACGCTGATGGATCAAGTGGGCGCTGGAGGACTCTGCTTCAGTGGAGTCCCTCGTTTTTTGGCCAGAGGCTGTGAGTCCATAGGAGCAGACACTCCTAAGGCCTGTGCAGGGACAGGTGAAAAGAGATGCCTGGCTCAGAAGGAGCACCAAATGAAAGCAAATACATGGGAGGCAGCAGGTTTTAGCTCTCAGGGATCAGGGCAGTACTCCCGGAAAAACCCCTATTTCCATGCCCCCCCACAGAATCTTAACCAAACTTCAGTCACAGGGAACAAGGGGGTCTTGCTGTATTTGGCAAATTAGACTTGTTTCATTGCCTTTTGGAGTAACCATTAGTGTTGTCTCACCTGCCTGGCCTGCACCTTTCAGGTGGATCTCATGCAGGCACTGGTTCTGAGCAAATGGAGATAACCCTCCGGCCCTGGGAGCCAAGGTGGGAGCAGTCAGCTGCAGATCTGATTGAGCCTCCCAGAGGAACGTATTTAGAGATGCTGGAATCCAGGTGATGTATGAAAAACACTTTATAAGTGACACTTCAGAGACAAAGCAACCTCTAAACATATTTGTGGAACTGAGTTTCGTGTCAGTTCTCAGGAGGCATCACTTAGGAGTCTTGACACCACAGATGGACATGGTCCATGCCCAGTCAGAGCAGTTGATCTCCCAGCTGTGGGAGGGCAGGATTCAAAGGTTTAGCTGGGGGTCCTCTCTTGGCAAAGCAGTGTGTCTGGCTGATTTATTTTCTCCATCATTACAGCTTTATGCAGAGCACTGAGGTGTATGAGGCAGGAACAAGCATGGCTTTGTTCTCCACTCCCAACACTCAACAACCTGTACCTTTCTGCCCCGAGGCTGTGCTGGAACCAGGACCCTGCTTTAGCCCTGCATGGCTGCAGCCCAGAGCAGCAGTGAGCAGTGCTGTGGCCAGCCCCCAGCTGGGGAGCTTGGTCCTGTACCCTTACAGGCCCCTTCCCATCCTGGATGAACACCTGGCCATGTGGCAGAGCCCTTGCAGCACCAGAGGAGTCTCTGGCTCTGTGTGGACCCCAGATATAGAAGGTTAGTAAAACTGCACCCAGACTGTTGACCTCAAGAGTTTCCAAACTTCTCTTTCCTTTGCTGTAAACACTCTTGCTCACTTTAGTGGCTTTCCAATGTCATGAGAAATGGGAGCGGGGCTTATTTTGAGCTTTGGAGTTCTGCCTCTATAGTAGTTCAATGAGAAAAAGCTGTTGATTTAAGGTATTGAAACAGACATTCTTACCTACTCTTTTGCCTAAACTGTAATTGCTTCCATAAGATAGTAGTGGATTCCTTTTAGTGTTTCCACTGGAAGAGTCCCTCCAGGTGTTGTCTGCTCCCCGTGTCCATTTTTAATGCCAGTTGTCCTTAAGAGATTGCTTGAGAAGAGGCTGGGAACTTCTTAACTGTGCCATGGTGCTCTTCAGGCACACATTCTCCCTTTCCTTTCTCCTTCCTGCTATTCTTTCTCTCTTCTTCTTCGTCTCCTTCCTGTCCAGTCTTGTTCAGCATTCCCACCATCTCTTTTCTTCCCCCTGTTCTTCAGAATGGCCTTGGTAGGTGTACAGAACAGAAAGGGCTGTGAGTGCCATTCCCCCAGCCTGTGGTGAACGTGGAGCAAGGAGAGAAGGAATAACTGGGTCCCGTTATCTGTCTGTGTACTTGTGTTTAATACAAGCATTTATTTCAGCAGGTATCAGAGTTCCCTTGAGCAGAGTCCCTCAAGGTGGCTCTATTGAAGGCAGTCCAGGAAGAATCATTCAGCAGTCAGATTTAGAGGTTGAAAGCTTCATCCTTAGAGAAGGACAGCTAGGGACCCTGGAATCTATTCCCCACAGGTAAAGAGAGGGAAAGCACAGGGCTGCTTAAAGGCAGGAATAACAATGCTGTGGGTGTAGCCCTCTCTTGAGACACTGTTAAAGAGGGTTGCAGAAAGAGTATAGATGCATCTCATTCCCAGGGCCTGATTCTCCTTGTGTCCATCCTATTTTGCAGGTATTTATATCTGTGCACTGGAAATGTGTAAGTGTATATGTGTGTGTGTGTGTGTGGCACAAAGGGGATTTGGAACCAGCTGAATCAGGAAAGACATTAACCCCTCTTTTTAAAGCAGGTCCAGCTTCTGAGCTATTTGCTTGTTTTTGGCAGAAAATCATAACCTATACTGATCCAGTGAGAGCTGATTCTGTGGGCTGGGTTGGTAGGGCCTGTACTTAATCCCAAAATAGTTTTTGTAGCTTCACAACCCCATGACAAGATTATTCCATAGGGCAAGCTTTCCAAATTGGAAGACAGAAAGGCACTGTTCTATCTTTCTGTTTTCCACCTGTAACAACTGTTTCAGAATTCAGATTTTCTCTGAAACTTAAGATAAATTCAGAGAATGCAAAACAACAAAAATTCGTGCCATTTTCCATATGTTATACAACTTGCATCAAGTTACATAAAAATAAACACTGCCAAAGAGATATTATGAGCTTCCTTCACTTTACTGATCTGCAAGACTGAGCAGGAGCAGCAGCCCCATTTCACAACCCATCTGTTGACACTGTCCAGCATTTGTGCTATAGCACTACACTGTCAATATGGCAAAAAAGCAGGTAGAAGGAGCTTATTCCCACTTTATGGAGGAGGAAGCAGAGGCACAGAAAGCTTTGTGACTTGTCAAACAACAAGGGAAGGCAGTGATTCACTGGAGATAAAGATCAGTGAGGTTTTGGCCCCCTTTCCCTGCTAAAAACATTTCTGCCTTTTACCCCTGTTTCCCAGTTGGCTTTGTGCCTCGTTCACAGTCCTGTCAGACTGCTCTGAATTGCTGGGGAGAACCCAGGTCTGGGCATTGTAAAACTCAGTCTGTGTTTTAGGATTTGCAGTTTTAAACAGTGGCGAAAGATCATGAAAGATCAGCAAGGGTTGCTGGCAATATTTTGGCTGGATTTAAAATTGCATGTTCTGACTCTGGAGTGAGCTCATGTTTATTTTTAAAATATGTGCTGCCAGTAGGAGAAATCTATGGTGGATGTCTCCTTGTTGGATATGTCAGTTGTGCCAGGAATCCACACACCCTTTATCTTATTCCTGTCAGGGGTGGGACTTGCTGCTTCATTGGCACCTTTGGGGGAGGATATATTATTTGAACTCTGTTTGTAAACCCTATTCATTGCCCTGGTCCAGCTCTGCCCAGAAGCTTGAACTCCCCAAAATACCATGAATGCTATGGAACATCAATGTTTTTTAGAAGTGAGTGGCGCTCAGGCTGCAGCTTCAGCAATTTCATTTTGCTCTCTGGGGAGCCAGGAGACCTCGTGTGGGTGATCTTGGGTAAGATCACTGCTCACTGAGTGGCAGTGAGTGAGGATCACCTGTGTTATCAGCCAGAGCCCTCTCACAGAGTTACTGATTGGAGAGGAGTTCTGTGTCACCAGAGTCCTCCTGAGCAGTCACGTTGCAATGAGCATCACTCATCTGGGAGCTCTGAGCAACAGCTCAAACTGGAAGAGTCAAATGAGTGTTGTTGTCCTGGAAAGACAGGGCAGTGAAGTTATCCCAGCTTTACACATGAGAGTAGTGCACAGAGAAGGAAACTATTTAGCCAAGGTCACCCATCTGGAGTGGACTCAGTGTTATGCCTCGCCAGCACCTGTGACTCCCTGCTTCCTGAGTGCAGGGATAGAGCTACAAGTCAGCCAAAGGACCCTTCATCTGCTTGTCTCATTTTTAAAGGTGCTCACCTGGAAAGGACTTGGCCTGAAAGCTTATTAGAACAACTCCTGTTGGTTTCTTTCATGGGCTTTTTACAGCCAGTCCTACGCACTTGGGCTGTATCCAAACCTCTTCTGATCTACAGGGCTGTGAGGTGGGAGTGTGAGAGGGAACCAGGCTGGGAACTGACTGTCTCCATCTGCTTCTGCTGCCTGAGAGGAAACTTTGATCCAGCTAGTGGACTGGAAGTCCCTGTGGGACACCAAGCAGATGCTCACCTTTACAGGGAGTGGTGGTACATCTTGTTCACTCTGCAAGCCAGGCCAGGTGGAATGTAGCCCAGCTAATGGTTCATGCAGAGTGGAACCCTCGTGCTCCCATTTCAAACAGAAAAGCACCCTGAGCTCTGTGGGGCAAGGCTTTCTGCATTTCTGAGCCAGCATATTGATCTAGAAAATGTCAATGCTGGGACGGCCGTGGCAGCTCACAGCTTCTGCCTGGGTTTTTGGGATCCCAGCTTGGAGTGCCAGGAATCCTCCTGCTGTTAGGCTCTCCCTCTGGATAACCCAGCACCCTGACACTGGCAGGCAGCACTTTCCGAGCCCACAAACGGGGGCTACTTTGTGGCAGTTGTGTAACTGAACGGCAGGACTGGTTGCTACGGGCGCTGTGCCTGTCGGTGTAAGTGGGCTGAGAAAAGGGATGAGACATTCCTGGTGGGGGTGGGGAGTGGGAGAGGGAGTTGAATCCATTTGTCATTAGGAAATGTGCCTGAAAGCAGCTCCAGCAGAGGAGTTCCCTGATGGCTGCAGCCTGGGGGGCTTTCTGAGGAAGGGCAGTTTGACACCTGCACTGTTGGTTCTCCTTTTTTCCTGTGCTCTACTAGTGGGCACCTCTTGTCTGGGCCTGTATGGACACTCATGCCCTGGGCTATTCCAGCTGGTGGTATGGGCAGTGTTGTTGCATTAGAAATACCTTAGAGTTGGTGATGATGGGAAAGAACATCAAATTTTCGAGTACCCAGTGTCTGCTACTTGACCCAGTGCCCGCAGACTGATCTCTTGAGGCAGAGACCCCAGGAGAATGGGGATCCGGTCCTCAGACTCCACTGGTGGCCTTGAAAAGCTGTAGTAGTATCATAGCCAATGTTGTGACTGTGTCTAAAACCACGTGTTTATCTGTTTTGACTCTTAAGATCTCTGTTTTTAAAATATGTTCCAGGAGAGAGACTTTTTAGTAGATACCTCCTTGATTATGGAGAGCATTTTGGGGGCAGAAGGAAAGTTGCAAATTGAACTGTCATTCCCTGATCCTGCTCCTGGTCAGGCCTGTCATCCCACTGCAGAATCTGTATTCTCAGGCCATAACAATTTGGAGAAATGGGGCAGATGTGGAGACAACTAAGCAGAACTCTATTAAATTAATAGTCTTGCCAACAAACCCCTCTTGTCCTGCTGAAAAGTATTACAGTAAGTGGCAAGTAGAGCATAAATACAAATGCACTTGTATATGGGTTTTTTTGCAGTTCCTGTCAGACTGTGTTTGACAAGCCTCAGTGCCCACCTGTTTCTGCACCCTGCATGGAAGAAAGCCAAGCCTTGGGACAAAGCCAGGTAAGAGAACACACCTAATGCTCAGAGAAAGGAGCTCAGCCCTGTACACACTATCCCCTGCAGCTCTATCACAGGAGATGTGAAATCTCCTATCATATTTAATATGAAACATGTTTGATCTAAGCATACCTGTAGGTACCCAGTTCAGAGCAAGCTGGGCATTCCCTGGGTAACATCCAGCAGATACTGGATGAGGAGTGGTGGTTTTGCCGTTTTTCTTTTTCCCACTTGAATTGTTTATCAGACCCTAATTTTATTAAATGTGTCATTGAAGTGGTGGCCAAAGGAACCTGTGCAGATCCAAAGTGCCATTTAAATTTGGAGTCATGGAGGGCTCACCTGGCATGCTGGCTGCTTGAGGGTCCTCCCCTCTGAGGGGTTCTGCACAATCTGATTCTGCTCTCTCAGACCTCTTGAAATGTTTCATGTAATTTTCATTTCCAGGCCTGTGTTATTGTTGAGGAAAGGGGATTTTGCACTGTTCTGAGATGGCTGATAGCAGTATACAGGGCAGTGTGAGGATAAAAGAAGTTACTTCCATGCTGTGGATGCAGTCTGCATACCTTCTGAGGGTGGTTTTAAGGCAGTAGAGAAGAGAAGTTGGAAATCTGGTGCTTTCAGAGGGACGAGGGCACATCTCTGAATTAAATCTTTCCTAAAAATAGGACCCAAGAAAGCCCTCTAAGGTGTACATTTAGCTATTTTTTGGCTCCATGTGTGTTGGTCTAACAATCAGCATCCATTGCTATTTCCCTTGCAGTGTAAACTGCTGGAGAAAACCTTTTTAAAGAGATTATGAAAAGCAGGAGCCCATATCTGCTGGCCTCATTATGGGAAGTGGTTGCAGCTCTGAGGGCAGTAACAGAACCTCTTTTGAGCTTCTGAAAGCATCAATATAAAGATCTGTATCTTGGAAAGTGGTCTTTTTACCAGCCATAATGTAAGCCAGATGAGAAGGAAAGCTTTGGGCATTAATAATGAATGAGCCTTTTCTAAGATTTCCAGAGCATGCAGTCTCTGTAGGTAGTTTTCATCTTGCTGTTCTGCATTCCTGCACTGATTTTGCAGTGGTGTAGAAACATGACACTCAGTGCAATGTGGGCTGGGGAGCAAGAGACCAAGTGATGCCTGCAGATGTCAAAGGGGACATCTTCAAATCTTTGTAATAATTGCTCAGTTCAGGAATTCAGATGAGCAATTTTTGCATATTTTAATGAGTGCTCTAGGAAAAGGCAGAGCTGGAATGGGTAAATGATTTTACAGCATTCTACAGACTTCCTGGGCACTTTGCTTCTTGCTGAATCAAATGGCTCTGGGCTTGTGGCAGGGATGGGCAGATCTTTGGTTCCTATGGCTGAACCACAGGGGTGCAGATGGACACTTCCTTTTGTCCACACATAACTCGATTTGCTTTTTGTATGTCATGCATACCATCAGAACCAAAATGAGAGTAAAACAAAAGCTAAAAACCCAAAAATTTAATTCATTTTGGAGACATTCCTTTCCCTTCCTGAGCAGAGCACCCTTGTTCAGGTGATCACTCCCTTTATTATTTCATCCTGGTCTTACCTTCTGTCAGTTACTGGCTTTTACAGGAGCCAATGCCTTGGGGCAAAGGGAAGGGAATTGCTCTGCTCTGCATTACTGAGAGTTGGATTGTGCACTGATTGTACTTGTCACTGTTACACCATGTCCTGCACAGATGGATCACTCTGCCTGAGCTTAGAGGGGAACAAGGCCTTTGTCCCTCCGTGCACAGAGCCCTCAGCACTGACATTCCCTCCCATCACACACCTTGTGCTGCTGTCTGGCTGCCCAGAGGAGCTCTCCCACCATAAGCAACCGTGTCAAAAATCATATGGTGAGGTTTTGATTCCTTCCTGTGTCTTTCAGGTCCTGGAGGATCCAGCTGGTGACCCGTTAAGCAGCGACACGTTCTGGGCAGCGTACCTGCTCTTTGAATTGTCTGCCAGGGGACAGATGTGACCTGCCTGCAGAGACACTCGGGGTGGGCTGCGCGTCCCCAGGAAACGCCCCATCGATGCCTATTTTTTCCTCTTGTATTTTTTTATAAATGAATCAGGAGTTTGACAAGGGGATGAATAAGAGTGAGGGAGAAGGATTGGAGGCGTTTTCAAGTGGTTACGAAGTTTGGTTTACTTACAGTTTTATTAAGAATTTTGCAAAGGATAGAAGAAGCACTGTGGACTGTAGGTTTTTACTGGAGCAGTCTGAAGCTGTAGTGTAGATGCTAAAATTACCAAGGCACTTATTCTGTGGCAGTTACATGGATTATCCATAGTACTGGTGAGATCAGAGTCCTTCACTGCATCATGAAGGTAAATTAAGCTCCTCTACTTTAAAGGAGTAAAATTTAGTTATATTGCCTTACAGTGGATATTGAATAACTTTTTCTCAGTTCTGGAAAACAAGGTGTCAGCTAAGTGCTGGTAAAATACAGCTGTTTCTTATCCCTGCTTTCCTGTTGTGCTGCAGGGTGTAACTTCTGGAAAGTTCCATGTTCCGTAGTGCCACAGATGACACAAACTGGAGCATGGCAGAAATTTCAGTGCTGAAGCTCTGGCAGGAATGGGGGAGGTCATACCATGGTTTTGGTGTTTAATACCAAGAAGTAGCAAGGTGCAGGTTTAAAGCTAATCCTGCAAGTCATGGGGAGTGGTCTTTTGGGTATTTTCCCTTTAGGGTATTTTTTGCAGTGTTACTGTGGGGGTTTAAATCTGTGTTGGAGAAGGGGTCATCTTTGCCAAACCTCCAGCCTGGAGATACACGGAGGAGATACTTCCCTTACCTTTTGTTACAAAGTTAGCAAATAAAGGTTGTCAATTACTGTTTCTCCAGGGTTCCTTTTTCAAGGTAGGGGTATGAAGTGATAAATGTCACATGACAGTTATGTATTAAAACCCAGCACCAGCTGCCCTGGGAACACTTGTGTGTGTTGAGACCCTCATGTCTCCCTTATTTTGGTGGCTCTCACTTGGAATGCCCATTTCTTACTGGGCATTACTACGCTTGGAAGGGTCACGCACATGTTACTGTTTATTGCCCTCAACAGCAGGGCCAGGTCTGTACGACTCTCCCAGCCCCCGGTGAGGGACGGGCCCGCCCCGCCCTCACAGCCCCGCGCCACCACCGCCCGCCCTCCTCCGCTCGGGGCCTTCCCGCCGCCGCTGCCGGCCTCGCCATTGGCCCGCGGGACCGGTAGCAACAAGCGACAGAGGGTATATCCTGCGCGCCCTGATTGCCGCCGCCTCCGCCGCAGCCATAGCAACAGCGGGGCGCGAGCGGGGCGCGGCGGGGCGGGGGGCCGGGGCTGAGGGGGCGCGAGGAGCCTTGAGGGGGCGCGAGGAAGCCCTGAGGGGGGCGGAGGAGGCCCTGCAGGGGGCGCGATGGAGCCCTGAGGGGCGGGCGGCCCTCGGGCACCGCCATCGCGGGCACCGCGGGCACAGGTGCCGCCGTCACGGCCACGCCGCGTGGAAAACTGTTCTCCAGGCGTTGGCACTGTCGTTCCTGCGACCTGAGGTGGAAAGGAGGCAGGACACAGTCAGGGACGCGGCTGCACGCAGAGGCAGTGGCCCCATAGCAAAATTCACACTGGATTCTTGATAGACTGTTGTCCGAGATCCCAAATAAGGTACTTTATTCTTCACCACTACTGGTATGACATGTCACTAGGATTACTATGATTTACTTAGTCAGTGGTATGTGATACATGTGGGTGATAACACTTCCCTACTGTTGAAGATGTATTGGAGTGAAGAGGAATGATGCCTTTCTTACAGTGAGATGTATTTTCAGTTCTTTTCAAATATTTAGTGCTGTTCCCTGTCAAGGAAAAGAATAAGATTAACATTGTGTGTGTGTATAGAAATTTTAGGTACCTATCATTCTAAATAGATTATTTTCTAATAAGCCATGCTAGGCAATGCAGGTACTTTGGGTTTGGATATAAATGACCTTTGTTCTACCACCTTAACAATACCAGTGTCCTAAGGCCTTGTAAGTTTTTTTAATAGTTCAAGAACACTATTGTTTTGACTTTTTAGTTAAAAAGAAGACACTCAGTTCAGCAGAATTTCTCAGGAGTGCTACAACAACAAGTCTCTTCCAAACTTAAATCTGAAAAAGAATTTTCAGCTAAAGCCAAATTAAAGCCTTTTCTCTCACACTTAATGAATTTCATTTCCAGATTTGGCACAGTTGTCCTCTGGAGGAAAACTGAATTTTCTAGGTCATTTCCCAGGTGAAATAACTTATTACTTTTCTGTAAATTTGTTAGACAATTCAAAGCTTGATATATGAAATTGAGCAAATTAAAAGTATTTCTCTTTAAGAGATGTAAAGTCAAGTGGTTAAAGTACAGTGTGTTCTGGCCCACTATTGTCTCATGTCACCTGGATGTTGAACCTGCACAAAACACTTTTGAGGAGCTAATTGCATTTGGACAGGAATTTGCAAGCAGGTGATCTCACTGGATTTGAACACGCTGAGTTACAGGTGAGCAGAGTTCAGAGGTGGGCTCTTCTTCCCCATCCCTGAGCCAGAAGAGAGGGGCTGCCTGGCCCTGCAGTGGAGGAAGAGAACAAGTGAATCTCTGCTGAATGCCAGTGCTGCTGTTGTCCTTCTCTGCCTGTGCTGCTGGGTGGAGTTAGTCTTTGAAGGAGAGCCCAGTGGAGTTCTTTCCGTTGTGTTCACACTGGGGTAGCATTTGAATTGTTCAGTTTGTGCCTTACCTCGTTCTGGTTTTCTAGCTGTGATTTGCGTCCCTGTCATGTTCTGCTTTCCCTGTCCTACCATTTGGAACAAGCTCTGTGTTTATACTGTTCTTCACTGGAGCTGTACTTGGAAGCACTCTGAGCACGTGGCTGACCTGCCCTGAGCTGAATGTGCTGTACCTGCTGTTGTCATTCCTCCTCCTCCACATGGCATGGCCTAGCAAAGGAAGGAGCTTGCCCTAGATACAAAAAAAAAGAAGCCATTTTTATCCTAAAATGCATATAAGGGCCCAAAGAACAGTACCTATATGTGTTGATGGGTCACAGAAAGGGGATGGAAATCTAGGAGGACTTTCTGTTACCTGGCTGTCCCTGAGGCGAGGGGGACACTTTCCCAATAGTCAGGTATCCATGTTTTCCACACTGCTGCCAGAGGCAGCTTTCCTCTTGGCAGTTCAGCAGACAGCCCTAAGCCTGGCAAGGCCAGAAACCAAGCTTTTGCCTGTCAGTGGTTCTGTGCTGGAAGTGGGGTGTGCAAGTGGCCTGCATGGCAGCTGCCATGAAAAACTTCCCTGAACTAATCCCAGCATGACATGAGCAGCAGCTTTCCCTGCCTCTAGTCCCAGTGGCAATTCTGCTGTCACAGTCACTGAATGGGTGTGTCCACGGCCCACTCAGGACAAATGCTGGGAGCTAAAGCTTCAAGGCCAGTGTTTCCAGGCAGGCTCCTGTTCTGGATGCCTGGCTCACCTTGCTTGGGGCCTCATTTTCAGAGGAAACGAGCACTTACATAGTGACTCAAGTAGGGCACCCAGAATAAGAGGCCACTTTTGAAAGTGTTGGCAAAGGCATTTTGTTTTATCTCTGCACTTCACCAGTCTTATCCCCAAAGTCTTTCATGTTATGTTCTGCAGTGAAAGGTCATTGTTTTGGATCAATCGTTTTCAGTGGGATTTAATCCAGTTCTGTGTCAAACTAATCCACTTTGGTAAAGGTTGAAGAGCAGTAAAAATTCATTTGTTAAGACAGGTCTGGGTTTATTTTTTAAATGTGGCTGTTGATGCTGAGTCCTTAATTGTGTATGCCCAGCATGAAGCGTCTTTGGAGTGGTTCCTAAAATGATGGACATCTAAATTCTGATCTTATCTGTGGCCTGCAAATGCTCAGGACTTTTGAAAAACCCTGAGATCTAGTGGGATTGATTTTTTTTTTTGGTGTTCATTTTGTTTTTTTACTTTCAGTATTTGCTTAACAGAGGTTGGGGTTTTTTTCTCTTACCTGTAGAGCCTCTTTTCAAAATGGTGCTCTGGTGGCAGCTGCTGATAAGCAGGCTTGTTCATGTTTTCCTGTTGGAGTTTGTGAATTCTGGTTACTTTCCCTTCATTACATAAAGAGTAAAACCACATTTCTCTCTGGGCAGGACTAGCAAACTGTGGTCTGAAGCAGCTCATGAGGGGTTAAAGCTGCTTTCAATTAGCTACCTTGTCCTCACCACTTAAAGAACCCCCCCAACTGAGCATGCTTGACAACCTCCTGTGCATATCCCTGAATCATTCTGGCAAGGAAAAACTGCCATAATCTTTTATTCAGACATAGTGCTGCTTCCTCAGTGGACTCTGAAATGAGCAGGCGCTTGAAAATAGCCCCTTTCACCAGAGAGTTCTGGGGATTTATCAACTCATATCTGCACAGCATTTTGGACATGCAAAAGGCTACTGTGTGTGAATGCTGAATGATATGAAAAATACTGCAGTGATCCCAAATAGGCTTATGGGTACAGACCTGCCCTTTCCCATGAGGGGGCAAGAGCTTCGCAGGTTTTGTACAAGTCCCTGACCTTCTGTTTTAGGTCTTCCCCTTTTAGTGAATGGATACACAGGGTACTTCCCCACAATTCATGGCATGAACTGTGCTGCTGAGCAGCACTCTGGCAGTGTCAGCTTTCCCTCTTCATTCTAGGATTTACCTTTGAGTTATGACGGAGGTTCTGGGAGAGTGATTCAAAATTAATATGAAATTGAAATATGACAAATAGACTATTTTCACACACGCTGTGACAGCCTAGAGGGTTCTGTTGCTCATTAAACTGTGGTGTATGGTTTGGCTAGAAATATGTCACTGAAATTACAGTCCCTTGTGGTTTGGGAAAGAATCATCACACTTCAGCTACACCCACTGCTATCTCGTGCTCTGATCTTGTCATTGGTGACAACACCTATCCTCCTGATGCACACTTATCTCACTGTACTGGGGGAATGTGCTGCCAGGATTTTAACGATAAAAATTACAGATAGTCTTAAGCCTGGGGAAGAATCTGTCCTTACAGCACTATTTGAGCATCATGCCCTGTGTAAGTGCCAGTCACAAGTATTTCCAAGATCAGATGTTCACAAACTCTTTGTCCCTCTTTCTCTACCATGGTTGTCTCTACTTCGTTTGCTGTGATGTGGAAGCTGGTTAACCTCCCCCATCAGTGGGTGGTTTCTTCTGTTCTCTCTCTGTTTTTCAGTATCTTGTCCCCAAGACTTTCATCATTTAACAGTTCCCTAAATAAAACATTTCCTTGCTGCAAAAAAGAGAGGGAAGATCATCTGCTCCAGGGATCAGGAGGATGTTAGTGGCAGGGACTTGGTAGCACCACTGCTATAGTTCCATGAGTCTCAGGAAGAGTGCCACAAAATGTGTGTGCTCCCTCAAAATGTGTGTGCTCCCTCAGTGCTACCAGGACAACCAAAGGGGAGGCTTTCTGCCCTGGGGAAGGGCTGGGAATGGCACAGGGTAGTTTCCTTGTCCCTCTTCACCAGTGTCCCCACAGCTAAACATCAGCACCGGGGAGACACCCTGTGAGACTGCTGTGGTGTCCCCAGTGCCCCTGTGTGAGTGAGCAGTGAACTGGAATGGCATTTCAGAGGGAGCTATTTGTGGAACATGGGTGCTGTCCAATAATCAGATATGCCTGTGGAGCAGAGCCACTGCCTTAGGTCACAGTGCAATTTTCAGTGCCATAAGTTTCTCCATCTCCAAATTCTTGCTGGGTGTGGTCACTGCTGACAACTCTCAGTCCTGCCTCATGAGAGCAGTATTCCTGAGCTTTGATGGGAATCACGGAGCTCTGTAATGTCATTTGTAATGCCTGGCATCTGAGCTGGGCAGGGGAACCACAGTCAGGCACTGCTTGTACCCCATGCAGCACTCTACTAAAGAGGCTTGCTGATT